TTCCTCAGCTATTTGTAAAGCTTCCTCAGACAGCCATTTTGCTGTCTGAGGAAGCTTTACAAATAGCTGAGGAAAGAAGGGAAGCGAAAGGCAAGGGAGAAAGAGAAAGATACACCCAATTGAATGCAGAATTCCAGAGAATAGAAGAAATAGGAATGCCTTCTTCAATGAACAGTGCAAAGAAATAGAAGAAAACAATAGAATAGGGAGGACCAGAGATCTCTTCAAGAAAATTGGAAATATGAAGGGAATGTTTCATGCAAAGATGGGCATGATAAAGGACCAAAATGGCAGGGACCTAACAGAGGCAGAAGAGATTAAGAAGAGGTGGCAAGATTACACAGAAGAACTCTACAAGAAAGAGCTTAACATCCCTGATAACCACGATGGGGTGGTCACTGACCTCGAGCCAGACACCCGGGAATGTGAAGTCAAATGGGCCTTAGGAAGTCTGAGCAACAACAAAGCTAGTGGAGGTGACAGTATTCCATCTGAGCTATTCAAAGTCTTAAAAGACGATGCAGTAAAAGTGCTACATTCAATTTGCCAGGAAATTTGGAAAACTCAACAGTGGCCACAGGATTGGAAAAGGTCAGTTTACATTCCGATCCCAAAGAAGGGCAATGCCAAAGAATGTTCCAACTACCACACCATTGCACTCATTTCACATGCTAGCAAAGTGATGCTCAAAATCCTACAAGCTTGGCTCCAGCAGTATGTGGACCGAGAACTACCAGAAGTACAGGCAGGATTTCAAAGAGGGAGAGGAACTAGAGATCAAATTACCAACATACGCTGGATCAGGGAGAAAGCTAGGGAGCTCCAGAAAAACATCTACTTCTGCTTCATTGACTATGCCAAAGCCTTTGATTGTGTGGATCAAAACAAACTGTGGCAAGTTCTTAGAGGGATGGGAGTACCAGACCATCTTATATGTCTCTAGAGAAACCTATATGCGAGTCAAGAAGCAACAGTGAGAAGTGGTCACAGAACCACTGATTGGTTCAAAATGGAGAAAGGAGTTTGGCAAGGCTGTATACTGTCGCCCTGCCTATTTAACTTATATGCAGAGCACATCATGAGAAAGGCGGGGCTAGACGAATCACAAATTGGAATTAAGAGAAATAACCTCAGATATGCAGATGATACCGCTGCAATGGCAGAAAGTGAAAAGAAACTAAAGAGTTTCTTGATGCGGGTGAAGGAGGAGAGCACAAAAGTTGGTTTTCCCAGTTGCAATGTATGGCTGTGAAAGCTGGACCATAAGGA